CGCACCCCAATCAAGACCGGCCAGGCATATATAACCAGCAAACTTTAATCTCTGCTGCACGGGTGATGTTCCCTAGCCTGAAACATTTCCAGGAAAACTGCCGGGTTCAGAGAACATGACGATTATCAGCTGTATTTTGTGAGCATAGCTCATTTGTGGATAAAGTTGCTCAAAGTGATATACAAGGTATTTCTTTGTCCATAGTTCTCCAACTAGCAACTCACTAGCCTTCTCATTAGCTTATTCATCCCAAAGCTTCCCCTTCTTCTAAGTTAAATATAGGATAGACATTACCCTTTGAAAGCAAAAGTGCCTCGTGGTCACTCTTTCGTTACTGTACAAGGGGCAAAAGAAACTACCAGCTAGGAACAGGATTATTAACAACCTGGAAACACATAAAAAGTAAAGTGGCACAGATGGAAGACAGAATAACAGAACTGGAAGGGATCCCGGAGGTCTTCTAGTCCAACCTTCTGCTCAAGCAGGAAAGGACAATCATCCTGTAATTGGGATATACAGATAGTCCTCAACTTATGAGCCCCAAATTTCCATTGTTAAACAAGGCAGTTGCTAAGTGAGTAACAGCCAAATTTATGACCTTTTTACCATGATTGTTAAATGAATCACTTAGTTAGTAACACAATCATTAAGTGAATCTGGCTTCCCCTTTGACTCTGCTTGTCAGAAGGCCGCAAAAGGGGATTACATGACCCTGGGACACTGCAACAGTCATAAATACATACACAGCGGTAGCCAATATCCTGAATTTTGATCACAGGATGATGGAGATGCTACAAGGATAATAAGTGTGAAAAAATGGTCGTAAGTCACTTATTTCAATGCTGTTCTAACTTTGAATGGTCACTAAATGAACCGAGGGCTAAGGACTAAGTCGAGCACTGCCTGTATTTGGTTAAATGCAGTATGTTTGATCTTGCTTTTTTCCTCTCCACCATCATCTCTTATTGCTGTTTTCAATTAAAAGATTAATGGGCAGCCTAAGAAATTGATTAAATAAAAAGGAATTGGCTAGAACGCCAATAGTAACATTACGGTGTGCCTTGTTTGATTTCCAAGGATCACATACAAAGAGGTAATCATACACAGCTTTCTCAACCTCATCTACTGTAATTCAGTAAATGGATTCAAACATTACATTGAGCCATAATTTAATTTGGTGCCATGAAATTGATGAATGGTGGCTAAAACTGGCTATGATTTAAGTACAGGTAGTTCTCAAATTGTGACCACAATTGACTCCAAAATTTATGTTGCTAAGTGAAACATTTGTTAAGTGAGCTTGCCCCCATTTTATGACTTTTCTTGCCACAGTTGTTAAGTGAATCATTGCATTTGTTAAGTTAGTAATATGGTTATTAAAGGAATCTGGCTTCCCCACTGACTTTGCTTGTCAGAAGGTCGCAAAAGTGGATCATGCGACCCCGGGACACTGCAACCGTCATAAATATGAACCACTAGCCAAGCATCTGAATTTTGATCATATGTCCATGGGGATGCTACAATGGTTGTAAGTATGAAAAACGGCTGTAAGTTACTTTTTTCTGTGCCATTGTAACTTTGAACAGTCACTAAACTGTTGTAAGTCAAGGACTACCTGTATAATGTATAGGCCAGGTCATATAAGGCTTAACTAGCTACAAAGACATCCAGATCTGTTCAATCAAAGCTTCATAAACCATTTTTGAAAAGCAGAATGGCAATATTCAAAATTTTCAAGGATGTTATTTTTTTTTGCCAAGAGTTCATAGTGGTATGTTGGCCAAAACTACCTATTGGACAGCAGATTATGGTTTGGGGTCATGGATCTTGGACAAGCACCTGCAAAGTAATTTCTAGTCATCAAGTTGTGAATAGGATGCAGGGAAAAATCTGAAGCTAATCTTTCTTTACTGTTGTCTTCTTCTTCTCTTTTCTCTAAACACTCCATTTTATTTTCATCCTGGTTTTGGATTTCCAGCATTACAGTCTCAAAAAAGTTAAAAGCAGGGTTTTCTGAAGGAAAAAGTGCTCAGCCAAATGAAATTAAATGCCAAGAAGTTTACTTCTGGAGCCTCATGACTATATAGGCATTGCAGAGAGTGAGTTGTGAGAGTATGGCTGAGGAACTCTGGAAGTCCACAAGTCTTAAAGTTGCCAAGGTTGGAGACCCCTGGTCTAGAATAGTTGTCCCAAAGGTGCTTTTTCAAGAAGCAACTGGACTTTCATGTTTTTTTCTTTGAAGACATTTTGCTTCTCATTCAAGAAGCTTCTTCAGCTATGACTGGATAATCTAGAACAGGCCTGTCAAACTGGCCTGTCATGCACAGGCCACGCCCACTCCAGCTCTGCAAAGGCAAAAAACATCACGATCCAGCCCGTGACATGATTGACACCCATTGGTCTAGAATAGTCAAAATTCAGGAGACTGGTACACTTTTCCTGACTACTAGGTAGTCCTTGAGTCACAAACACAACTGAGTCCAAATGAACTAAAATAGCTTCTTGGATGAGAAGCCAGTTAGGTGACCTTGGGCCAGTCACTCTCTCTCAGACCAACCCACTCCCAAGGAGGATATTTTGGATATATTTACTGCCTTACTTGTAAAAATAATAAAGGTGGGGCATAAACAATCAATCAATCAACCCACATAGATCGAAAGATTTTCTGCTATCTCCAAAGGTCTCAACAAATACAGTGGGTTTTTAAACACATTAGTTGTTAATGGATAATGGACTTTGTCTCACATGTAATCTGTATTTGCATAATCAACCTGTCCGTCCCTCTCCCCCTTCTCAGTTTAAATCCGCTAACCAGCTAGCCTTTCTAGGCATCTGAGCTGAAGCTCACAAAAGCTTTTGCCTTAATAGTACTTTTCAGCCAGGGATGACTCCATCCAATTCCTGATTTTGAGGGGAGGGGGCTAATGAGTAAATTTATGTGCACTGATTTTATATGTGAGGTCACAAATAAGCCTGGGATTTTTAAGTCGGTAGCATTCTGTACCTTTAATGCAGGTGGCATGCTAAGTGCTTGCCCTCCATCTGTTATGGTTTCTAGCCTGGGAGAATTCTCTCTGAATGCACAAAGAAATATAATCTCTGGGATTAAACAGCCCACTTTTAACTGTCTACCAAGCAGTATGATTGAATTAAAACCCTAACCTTCCTCTATTTTATCCATGCTTTTCAGAGCATTTATTCCAATGTTTAAATGACAGATTAACAGGATGTTTCTCAACTGTGGCAAATTGCAGATGTGGGGCTCCAGCTCCCAGAATTTTAGGGAAGACTAACATTGTGTACCTGTAATGCAGGTGGCATGCTATACCATCACCTAGGATTGGATATCCCTGGTGGAGTTTTTGTCACCTGCAATCAGTTCAATAGCTAGACCAGGGATTCCCAACTATGACAACTTTCAGATGTGTGTGGACTTCAACTCCCAGAATTCCCCAGCAAGCTTTGCTTGAAGTCCACACACCTCAAAGTTCCCAAGCTTGAGAAATACTGGAATAATGTGTTTAATTCAGGCCTATAATTCCTGATGTGTTCCCCAATGATCATCATTGTCCCCTTCTCTTCCCCCCCTCTAGCACTGATGATGTTACCTAGTTGGGTAATAAAACATCTGCAAGAAAAAAACCAAGCTCAGAGAGCACCAAGGACCCCACAATCCTCCTTCTCTTCTCCACACACCACTTCCTTCTAGAACTGATGATGTTACCTAATTGGGTAATGAAATGTCTGCAACTAAATAACCAAGCTCAGAGAAGCAGCAAGGATCTCTCAAGACGGAATCTATTTAACTTCTGGCTGTAACCAGCTACCCTCACTACAACAATCGTTTTGTAAGTAACATGTCCACAATGTAGGCAAAACCGTGTCTAGAAGAACACACTGTAAATATTTTCACATTATCAGAGATGCATAATTGGGCATATCTGAGAGATACAACGGCAAAAGATCAAATTATACTTCAGTATTCATTTTTAAAGCTAATAATGTATTTAGGTTTCCTCACCCGACAAATCTAACCATTTTGTTTTATGGGATGGTGAAACCATTGATGTTTCAAATAATAGGAAAAACAGAAGTTTTCTTCTAGATTCTGTAAACAAGCCCCATCCATAATTTATGCATTCTATGGTGGTTGCATCAGCAATGACTGTCTTTTACACACTTTGTTGATCGTTTTTAATTTTTAAGTTATTTTTAATCTTTAAAATCTAAAAATCAATTAAACATGTTTAACTGATTTTCTTCAGCCACTGCTCCTGCTCGGTTATAAATGATACCTTTGGAGCAGTCAAAATACATTTCCTTCCAGGGAATTTTGAATTGGGGGAACCTAATTTATATAGTGCTCATTTTGCAGCTTGTGTCAATCCTGGGTGGCTTACAATGTAGTAAATACATATAAAAACTATTATGAATGTAAGAACAGATGACAATTACAGAGGATTAAGAGCAGTCTAAAGAAATCCCAGGTTTGGCGCAGAGCAGTGATGGTGAACCCATTTAACTATTATGCAGTCTTTTTGACTACAAACTCTTTTTCAGCACAATATACTAACTCCTACATGCAGATGTTTACTTTGCAACACTAGACCACTGATTGCAGCATCAGACCACTGCAATGCAAACAGTCAGGAATAATTGTGTCAATACTTGCTAAACGAATAATGCTGTAAGTTATTTGACTTTGCAATCTGGTGTACTGTGCTGCTTTTCCTTTATTTTTTTAGATTTTATCCTGCCTTCTTTTTTTTATATATATATATAAAAAAGGCAGGGAATATACCTAATACTCCTCTCTTTGATTAAAGTGCCAGTTTTGGCAACAGATGATACTTAGAAAATATTGTTTCTATCGTCAGCTACGCTGAGGATTCTCAGCCAGGTGCATTTAAAGAATCAAAGTCATGCATTTGATTTCTTCTGTATCATCTGCCTGTGTGTTATTTGCAAGCCCTGAAAAATATAAAAGAACTTTCACTTACTGAAACAATGCCGTCCTTGTGAAACAAACAAAACAGATCCCGGGTGTGGATCCTGGAGTTAAATCTTCGTAGATATGTGAGCAAGATTCTCCTAAAGACAGAACAAAAGGGAATGGTGATCTATCAGATTTCTGACCATTCCAAATGTTTGTCACAGTGCTAAACCATTTTGTATAATAATAATAATAATAATAATAATAATAATAATAATAATAATAATAATAATAATAATAATAATAATAATAATAACAACAACAATAACAATAATAATACAGAAATTCAACTAGCGCCATCGGTGTATGGAAATTGGAAGAGGGATTCCACTGACAGTATAAAGATCTATACAATCAAAGGTGTAACACTTGTAAACCTACTTTATGATGAAATTCAGAAAGTGGTAAAGTTTCATGAAGCTCAATGTGCTTAGCACAGCATTCCACAGGCAGTTGCACCCTTTCCTGGACCAACAATCCCTTCTCATGGTCACTCATGCCCTAGTCACTTCCCGTCTTGACTATTGCAACGTGCCCCTGAAAAGCATCCGGAAGCTCCAGTTGGTGCAAAATGCAGCGGCCCGCATGGTTTTGTGCAGACCTCAGTGTGCACATATTGTCACCTCTCCCACCGGAAATGCATGGGTTGCCAATTTGCTTCCAGCTGCAATTCAAGATGCTGGTTGTCACCTTTAAAGCCCTTCATGGATTGGGATCAGGTTGTCTGCCAGTCAGATCTACCCAACCCAACTGAGCGGGGAGGAAAGAAATGTTGTGTCAGGAGATATATCTGGTGGGACCCAGAAGAAGGGCCTTCTTCGTGGTGGCTCCCTCCCTCTGAAGTATCATCCCCCTGGAGATTAGACTGGCCCCCTCTAACACTCTTTCAGAAGGCAGTTCTGGTGGCCTAGAGGTGGAGCTCTCACCTCACAATCAGGAGGCTGTGAGTTCTTCGATCCTAGGTAGAGGCTAATATTTGGAATAAACTCTCCCACTTGAGCAGGGGTTGGACTAAATGACCTCCAAGGTCCCTTCCAACTCTGTTATTCTATGAAAGGACCTGAAGATGTGCTTCTGCCAATGGGCCTGGGGAATCCAGAGCTGGATGGAGCCCATCAAATGGCTAGTATGAATATGTGTTGTCACCAGGATGTGTGTGTTATTATTTTATTCTTTTTCTTTTTATTCTTTTTCTTATTTCTTTTATATGGTGTTCTTGTGTCCTTATAAGCCACCTTGAGTTGCCATGTGCAAGTAGGTGGCAATATAAATTTTCTAAACAAATAAAATAATAAAAATAAATAAAATATAAAATAAAATTAAAATTAAATAATGTGAACAGTGCCAGGAATATGGACAGCTCCCTCTGGGTTGACTAAGTAAACATGGAATGAAATAACAATGAGTTACTCAAATTACTAGCAAATTTTCATCCCATAAGAAAGTACAGATTAAAAAGAAACAACCCTAGGATAAGATTAAGGCACAAATCAGGGAAATTAATGGATAAATAAAAGGGTTTCCATAAACACTTCGTTTAGTGCATTGATAACAGTGCAGAATGAAAAGAAAGCAGTCCTCAGTTGACTGCTTAATATTTTTGTCAAAATCTTTGCTCACATCCTTTTGCACAAGTGAATGTGGCTTCCCCATTGACTTTGCTTGTCAGAAGGTCGCAAAAGGGGATCACATGAGAATGGGACACTGCAACGGTCATAAGTATGAGTCAGTTACTAAATGTCTGAATTCTGATCATGTGACCATGAGGATGCTGCAATCGTCATAAATGTGAAAAATGGTCACAAGTCACTTTTTTCTCTGCCACTGTAAATGAATTGTTGTAAGTCGAGGACTACCTGTTTAACTGACTCAAAGCAATTTCAACCACCCCCACCAGCCTGGAAATATTTCAGCCTGGAGCCCTGAATCACACCTGAAGCTGCTGCTCTTACTTAAGTCCCAGCACTTTTGCTGAAATCTCTCACATAAAGGTAGTCCTTGACTTACAACAGTTCATTCAGTGACTGTTCGAAGATACAATGGCACTTTTAAAAAAGTGACTTATGACCATTTCCCCACACTTATGACCATTGCAGAATCCCCGTGGTCATGTGATCAAAATTCAGGCACTTGGCAGCTGACTTGTATTTATGACGGTTGCAGGGTCCCGGGGTCATGTGATCCCATTTTGTGACCTTCTGAGAAGCAAAGTCAATGGGGAAGCCATGTGACTAACTTAATAACTGCAGCGATTCACTTAACAAATGTGGCAAGAGACAAAATAAAATCTCACTTAGTAACAGAAATTTTGGGCTCAACTGTGTTCGTAAGTCAAGGACTACCTATATTGCCATTGAGGAAGAACCCACAACAGCAAGTAATGAGATGGATATTCCAAATCAGTCATGTTGTGTTTGTGATCCTATACACTGTTCAAGTGTCTACTTTTTTTTTGCAAGGTACTTATTAAACGAGGAAGCAGCAGCCATATAGATTTTACTTAATGCTTCTTTCATCCTCTTTCGTTAACATAAAATTCATCATTCTGTAAATTGAAGAAGGGGAGGTCAGCATGAGCGACGGACATGAAATGTGGATTTAGAAGCCCACTGTGGAAATATGAGAACCAAAAATCTTCTAACTCAATTTCATTAAGAAAAGGATAAGCTTCTCAAATGATAGTAATTTTTTGTGAGATCTATCACAATTACAGATTTTTTAACCATTTACATTCCCTATTTATTTGACTTAAAAAGCAAGAAATTGTCTACAATTAGCTCTGCTGAATATAGTAGCCTAAATATTATTGCTTTAATAGGCTTAGAGGATTAAATTCAGCTATTTAAATCTAATTGACCAGTGTCTTGTAAAGATTTGTGACCTTGTACTCTCAGCAAAGGTATCATGTAAATACAGGACAAAACTACCGGTAGGTATGAATTCAGGGATCAAAACACTTTGCTTTGATTCATTTATGTTCATCTGCGCTAAAGTCTGTCGGATAATACTATATTTCCAAGCTCCATCAAGGAAAGTAACAAAGCCTATTCTCACTCATTTGGAAGTTTTCAAGAAAAGATTGGACAACCGTTTATCCAAGATGGAATAAGGTTTCTTGCCTTGGGCAGGGGGTTGGACTTGAAGACCTCCAAGGTCCCTTCCAGACCTATGATTCTACATCTAAAAGCTGTGATTGAAGAAGACCAGCACAATGGACTTGTGAGCTACACCACTCCCCTAAACAACCAAGCACTCTTGTCTGCCAGGTGATTGCAGATTTTGTGTGCAATGTCATTTCTAAGAGCAAAGCTCAGGGTGACAGACAGGATGGAGGACTTCAAGATGTTGCATCCAGAGATACCATCTGGGAACAGCCTGGCAAAGTATTAGCTGCACGTAACAATAGGCTTAACAAGCAGGATAAGCGACATAAAAACATTAACACTTCATGTGGGATATGTGTGATGGGGTAACATGATAGCAGTGGTCCAATATCTCAGGGGCTGCCACAAAGAAGGGGGGGGGTCAATCTATTCTCCAAAGCACCTGAAGGCAGACTGGAAGCATTCTCTAGTGCTAGGGAATTTCTAGAAGCCTGGCACTCTGACAAATTAGCCATCAATATCATTAGACATAAATCATATCATAGAAAGACCTGCACATGGATTAGAGAACAAACAAAATATACAATGCCATCAAGAGAGTAAAAGAATTGAAGTGGAAACAGGCTGGTCACAATGCAAGAACTGATGACAAGTGGACCAAGGCAGTCATCGAATGGATCACACTTGATCAGGAAGCATTCACAAAAGACACCTGAAACAAGATGGATCAACGACATCAGCAAGTATGGCGGGCCCAACTGGCAAAAGAAAGCTCAGGACCATATGGGTTGGAAACATGTGGAAGAGGCCTTCATCTTGCAATGGATAGATAATGGCTAGAATGATGATGATGATCAATCTATACTCTGCAAAAGAGACTATCAACCAGGCCAAGAGAGAAAAAGAGTCCATCAGCAATCAGCACCCAGATGAGCATCGATTAAACTCCAAAATTAACACCAGACCAACAACCAAGTAAACACCACCCCAGTCAAAACACTGCCAAAGGAGAACCCAAAGAATCTTTAAGACCATCCCCATCAACACTGACAGAACAAGACACCAGCATATAAACTGACAGCAAATTCCACTTCCCACCAACACTGATAACATTACCTAGTTGGGTCATGAAACATCAGCAAGCTCAGAGAGCATCAAGGATCCCTCTGGAGCTTTCCTAAGGTCCACCAAGAAGACAAATCTCTTCACTGACAGTGAGAAGCATGCAGTAACAACTGCATTACCATCTCCCGATTCTTGATCAAGCCCATTTATACATCTTCTGTTTTCTGGAGCAGAGGTTGAAGATGTTGGTTTTGCTCTCCAAAGGACCACCCCTCCTCTTCATGATTCCTAGTACATCCCCTCTGGAAGGACTAAGAGGGTACTTGAAATAAGGATTATTTGGGAAATTCAGCTTCATTAAATCTAATTTTACAAAATCTTTGCCTTGGGAGAGCTGTAATTTACAGCACATGAAGACATAAAATTTGCTTTTTATTTCCAGCTGCTAATTTATTTTGTACCCTAAGCTTTTTAACAACGGCCGAATATTAATTATCACCTGTAGGCAGGGGATTATGGAGGACCTCAACTGTGTTTCCCGTGAAGCTGCCAATAATAAATCTTTAAAAATATACTAAAAATCTTACAAGATCCCCAAAGCCTCAAATATTTTGGTTTCTCACTCAAAACCTTACAAGATTTGGGATGGGAATATTAAAATATAAAGTGATCTCACACTGTTTTGACCATTTGTTTCTTAAAAATAGCTTTAGTTTTTATTTGAGTGTTTTTGGTTGCAAACTATAAACAATTGTTGTAGCGGCTGTAACTCTTGCAAAGAAAGCTCTTTTCTTTTTGTAAAAAGCTCGGAGAAGCCAGATGTGCTGATCCATTAAAGAAGGGGTGTCCAACCTTAGCCGCTTTAAGACTTGTGGACTTCAACTCCCAGAATTCCCCAGCCAGCATGGACTTGTTGAAGTCCACAAAAG